GACCATGCACACTCGGGTCAAGTACATACCAAATATAGTTACGGACTTAGACACTAATCCAACAATAACATCCTCTGAATTGTATGGATTTTCACAGTACGGATTCTGATTTTTGCAGTCAGAATAACAAGACAATACATATTTTTTTTTAAAAAAATTGCAGTCCCACATAAAATTTCATAGTAAACAGATCCTAGGTATGAAAAACGATCCTACTCGTAAACGAATCGTATTTGGGGTAGGATCGCAGATAGGATCGTAAGATCGTAGGTAGGATTATAGGATCGAGATCCGATCCGATCCTACCTTCCCTTGAATTTTTTTTTTATTTATTATTATTTTTTTTTTTGCAAATGAATTTTTTTACCACTTTATGTTTTTTTATCATTTACCGTATCATTTTATATTGTGATTTATGACTAATATTTTGAAATTTTTATAACTTTTGAACGAAAAATTGAATGTTTGAAATATTTTTCATTATTAAAAATTATAAATTAAAAATATATTTTATTTTGTAGGATCTTAGGATCCCAATCTCGATCGATCTCGATCTTGCAAACCTAAATCGATCCTATGTAGGATCCTGATCTTGACAACCTTGGTCAACAGTCAACAATACCAAAACGACATTTTTTTAAAAAAATTCGTAGGCCAACCATATTTTCGCAGATGATGGCCTGAAAAAGGTATAGCTATTTTGGTATTTTCTTTTTTTTTAAGTGTTTTATAATAATATATTAAAAAAAAAACTATTATGCTCTGATGACCATGCTTAAAATTAAAGAACACACAAAAATGATATACTAATGATTTTTCATGATTGTCAGGAAATTACATCAATTGGAGTATTATTTTAAAATTTTAATTTAATTTATAAATGAACTCAGAAAATATCAATGACCATTCCATCTTGGAATTAATGTCTAACGAAATTGACAGTTTGACGTATTTCTATCGATTTGAGACCCGACGCGAGATTTCTTCTTCTAAATTGATTTCTTCTTGCACCTTGTTCTTATACAATGATCGGAACTCGAAAGGAAACTTCATAGAATCAACAACGAAAACCGTAAACTATTGACCTTTATCGACTCAATTTCTTCATATATTCACCCTTTAATAACCTCCAATCGTTCACTTGTAAACAAATTGTTCACTTGGAAACACAGTTCAACCAAAAAAAGAAAGATGAATCAAAATCATGTTATCACAATTGACCAAGAGGTGAAGTTCATGAACACCCAAATGAAAAAACCACCAAAATTACTACACAAATCAGCTGGAAATGACTCTTGCTGCATATTCAGAGTCCCCCAGAGTCTTTTCGAGATCAACAGGGAAGCATATCAACCTCGAATCGTCTCAATCGGCCCATATCACCATGGAAACAAGCACCTTGAGATGATCGAAGAACATAAATGGAGGTACCTGAACGATTTGATCCAAAGAACAGGTAAGTCAATTGGATATTTCATGAAAATCATAGTGTCAATGCAGGATCAAATTCGACAAAGCTACTCAGAATCTATTGATCACTTTTCCGCCAATGATCTTGCTAAAATGATGGTGCTTGATGGGTTTTTCTTGATTGAGTTGTTCAGAAAAGTTGGAAAGTTGGTTGGGACTGATACAGATGATCCAATCTTCAGAATGGTTTGGGTGTCTCCATTTTTGATGAGAGATCTTCTGAGAATTGAGAACCAAATCCCATTTTTTGTTCTCCAGAAGTTGTTTGATGTATCTAAACCTGAAGTGTCTAAA